GACGGCATGTCCGACTCCGGAAGGGACAACTGAAGAAGCGACGATCCATCCTGCCCCAAGCGGTACGGTGGCAGGTGGACGTGGCTGTCAAAGAGATCAGAGTAGAAGTCGTGGATGACCTTCTCCATTGCCCTTCTGGATGCGGTGATTGTTCCATCCGGACGTCGGAGGGCGGTCATCTTGGTCTTACAGTTGGCGAAATCGCGGCGGGCGTTGCGTACGCTCTTCCCAGCCTCTGCGGCTTCCACCAGTACTGCTGCTCTTCTCTCCTTGAGGTCTTCCTTTATCGCTTCTCTGCATAGCTTCGCAAGCTCAGACGTCAGCTGGTAATTGCCTGCGGCTCGTGCGGCTCCTTCGTACTTCCTCGTTGATGTTTCCGATAACAGAATCCTCCCCGAGTCCAGCGAGAGAAGTAAAGTGATCCCAATTGGTGACGGTCTTGGGACTCTCCTTGTACTTTGCACGTCTTTGCACTTCATCGAGAAACGAAATCTTGCGCGGAGGAGACGGTGTTCCCATTCGGTGTAGAACGTGAGAACAGCGACGTCGGTCAAGTAAAATGTGCGATTGATGATGATGTGGTCGATCTCGTTATGGAATTGTCCACCAGGAGACTCCCATGTCCAGCGTAGAGAGTAGGGCTTCTGGAACTGCGAGTTACCATGGATGGTATGGGTCGACATGATAACTCAGACAGCCTTTCACCCTCCTCATTATTCCTACTGCATGAGTTCCGATGTGAAGTTCTTCAGCCATTCTACTCGGTACGACCTTAGCGCTGAAAATCGCTGACGATGGCTTTGGCATGCTCGGACAAGTATGATCTTCTAAAACTTCTGCAATTCCATTATAGAACGCTTCGAGCATCATCTCGTCGAGCTTGATTGTGGTGCGTAGTGCTGAACGGAAGATTGTCAAAAAGCTTGAGTTGAACCATTCTTCTCTATCGGCGAAAGGTCCGTTCGGAGTCGTCCAGATTTTTCGTGACGAACGATGTTCATGCCAAGTCGTGTTGACAGAAGGGCGCCCGAACGCCAACGGCCTCTGCTTGTCGCATGTTCCGAAGAACAGTTCTTCTCTCTCCAGTTCCGTACTCGGCGTGTAGCGGGCGATGCCTCCTCGTCTCGGTCAGTCCGATGACGTCGTACTTGATCTTCCCTGGCTTGCAACATCAGATCTTCGATGTGAGCTTCCGATGCAAGCGTCCGTGCGTTGAAAGACAGGCTCTTTATCCTGGCTCAACTCTCCTGCAGTATGAACCCTGTTCAATTCATCCCATGGAACGTTGAGGCTGCGGATGGGACAATGGAAAGACATCCAGAGAAGAAGACAAGAAACACTCGGCTTCGTGCCCACCTCCTCGATTCCGCTGTCCTATCTGCTCTGACTTGCGGCTCAGAAGCGTAGACTCTACGAAAGCTGGATGATCATGCGGTTAGCGCCATTCAACACGGCAAACAAGAGCGATACTCGGGGTTTCCCGCTACCTGCAAGGAAAAGAAATCCAGAGCTCCGCACTCCGTTGACGCTCGTGGACGCAGCAGCACTTGGCAAGGTTTCGAAGGTCAGGAACAAACGGGAACGATGTCGCCGACCGCTTGTGTATTGGAAAAATATGGGGACAAGGCTACGCGTTGCCTAATCACGCAGTCTGGCACCGATTGGCGCTGTCCGATAGGGCTTTGGGAGAGCATAGGACAATTGGAGAGTACCAAATTGTGCTAAGGCAGTATCTGCGCTCCTGTTATCCTCTACTCTCTCGAAGCACCAGTGGTCGGCGCCATCGATTCCTGTCTGCGGCTGCGTTCGCGTCTATATGATTGGAGCGCTGTTGCAATGCAGGCGCGCGCGCGTCATCGCGCAGTCTAAACGCTGCATTATCGCTGAAACTTCTGACTGAAGTGGTCAAACAAGTCAAGGCAGCAAGCGAAATCTGCAAGAGAATACTATTTGAAGCAGTTTTCGGGTTACGAAAGGAAGTTCCTTTCAGGTCTCTCGTCACGTATTTTGATTGGGAGGTCCATTGCACTGATAGTGAATGTCAGGGCTGTTCACCTCCTGATATTCTTCGCGTGCGATCAATAAGACGATCACCCCCCCGTCTGTATGTTCCATGCATGAGTTTGTGTTCATATTCGCTAATACTTCTGAGAATGTTATTCATTCATACAGTGAGTTATGTGGAGCAAACGATGCTAATCTTTTGACCCTTTCGGAACGTCCCAATGCCAACTGGCACGCTTGACAGTCATAAAGAACTAGATTAACTTCGACGATAATCGATTATTCAATTATTATGAGCTCTCTCTTGCCACAATACCGCTTTGAAATACTGCCTGTCAAACCCTTCAGTATGGACAAAATACAGAGTCTGAACTCTTTTATTTTTCCCGGATTAGCTGTGGAAAAATCATGTGTCCGCAACCACGGCACGAATTTACTGCGAGCAGTGTAGGATGTGAAATATTCAGGTGTTGTTATGGCAGATCAATTCTTATTCAAATATTAATTGCTCACAAGATCAAGCAGACTGCCAAGCCATTTATAACCGAATTCTCAATTTTAGGCTTCTGTCCTATTTCTTTCAACATTTTTTTGAGAAGGGATGAACTGATGATACTACTCAACTATTACTACTCCGAAAACTCGGAAGAGAGCTTAAATTTTGCCTGCACTGTTATTCGATGTCCTGATCAAGAGTGGGACCTGTTTTTGACACTCGCCCTATTTGTCGCCACACGCTTTTTCGCCAAATCGGTGCAATTTTTCATAGTGTGGTTGTTTGACGCTTTGATCACGAATATGGCATTCATTTTTCATTTTAGCACTTGGCTAAGGCTGAGCCTGGGTTAAGGAGTGATTCCTTTCGAACCTTACTAGAGCGCAGACGATCGTAGTGTCCTCCATTAGAGTCAGGATAACCCCGTGAACAAATTTGCATCGATTTTGGGGATCAAGGGTACTTTAGCGTCGGCGCCTGTGGCGCGGGCGCCAGGCTTTTTCGTGTCAAGCTGATGTGATATTCTTAATCCGGAGGTCAAACTATCTCTACAGACAAGTTTTCAGCGAATTCGGTGATTTACTGTATTTTAGCACCCATGCCCGTGGCGCGGGCGCCAGGCAGTTTCAGGCCAGGCGGATGTGATATTCATTCAAGGAGGTCCAACTATCATTAGGTACCAATTCAGTCAAATTTGCCCTCATAGGGAAAAGTCGGTAAAAACTGGCCTGATTTCGGAAGATTAGGGCAGTAATATTTAAATAATGCCCATAGCTGAATAGTGCTAATAATATTTATTCTATCAATTGCTAATAATATTTATTCTATCAATACGTCCTTTGAATGCAATACATCCTTTTCATTTGAGATGCAAATGTTGATGTTGATTCTGTAATGATTTATACATGCAGCTCTGAACGTTTGGGCCTTTTTTCGAAATGGTGAGGCTATGCAGCGTCATCTTATTGACGGCTGTTTCAACACCACCCATTGCAGGTGGCAGAACGCGGCAAGGGTTTGACCGGCTATGTCCATCGTTTACTTCAACGAGATCCTCAAAGTCATCGAAAAATCAGCGGTGAGTTGACGAATTCTAATTTCTTCTTGTCCTCGTGTCTATAAACTATAAGGGAGGCAATGTCTCGATCCGTGGTTTTGCCAGCAAAATACGATTTTTGGTTCTGCGTATATGGCGTTCAGAAAGCGTATTCTCCTCGATATGGTGGTCTTGTGACACTTCCAGTGGCAAGTCGCTTAACCCTTTTTTAGGTCTTGGAACTTTGTAGGCTACATCTTTATCTCCCCTTCATTTCGGAACTTCTTCTAAAGTACCATTTTCCAAGCTATAAAGCTTCTTCTATGTCCTGCGTATGTCCTTCCTCCATGATCCAAATGTATCATGGCGTATTTTGCGTACCTGACCCTACTCCTTCCTCCGCTTTCCCCTCCCTGTTCTTCAGAAATCCATCCAATACTGTCCTTGTGCGACTTTCTTGCAATCTCGGCATTATAAATATCTTTGTCGTGCAGTATGGTCGACCCCGCATCATCGCGGCGGCTAATCGTGGCCCTCACTAAGGCGAAGACTTTAGCGTAGGCTTAATAAGGCCATCCAGTTCTGTAAAGGCATGAAGAAATATGACAGGGATATTTGTATCCCCTCCTTTCATCCTTATCTTCTGTTTCATTCTCCTCCTTCTTCCTCGTCTCACTGACTGTTATTTCTGTGTCGTTTTCAAATTCTGGTCCTATTTTTCTTTTAACTTATCTATTTCTTTATCTTCTCATCTATTTCTTTATCTTCTCTACTCCTTCCCCCTCCATTGCCTCTACCATATTCTTTATCTAGCATACACTACTTTATCTGTCTCATTGCGGAATTCTTTTGCCTCTGCTGTTCTGCCTGCTCTTCCTGCTCTTCTCCGCCTCATTTGCAATTTTTTTATGCTGTGATTGCTTTTCATCCATTTGCTTCTCTCTTTGCGGTTTTCCTTTTCCGTCCTTTTTTTGTTTCTGTGTCCACTATTATCTTCATAGTCTGTTTTTCCTCTATTCATGCCACTTTTCACACGCTTACCACTGGTTTGGGAACAGTAAATTTGCAAAATCTTACGCAGCTCTGATATTTTATCATATTTGAAACGGACGCATAACCTTTGCTTGTAAAAAGGGCCACTGGTACATGTGAGGTTTTATATAAATATGACACGAAATCTTCGTGGGAAGTTGGATTGATTTGATCTGAGTAAGGAGGTGATACATTCTGTAAGAGATAACCTACAAAAAAGCTACTCTGAACAAAAATTCTAAAAAAAAACACTATGGAATCCTGAGAAATTCGGGTTCTCGAGCATGTTCATCTTTCTTTCCTAGGATTCTGAACTAATTTTCGATCGGAATTTGAATTTCAGCCTCTCAAAAGAACCATTGCCGGTGTAGCCACGCAAGCAGGATGTGCAGCCGCTGGAACTGCTGCAGGAGGACTTACTATGGGACCACTTGGAGCCTTGATCGGAGGTATTATGGGAGCAGTCTATGGCTATAATTGCAGTAGCGACTATGATGTAAGTATTTTTGCCATCTTTCCCTTCTTTCTATACCACTGTATTATTTGGCAGCTGGCGTGCCAACAGTTCTTTGATTGGAATATCAATTCGCAGAACTACGAAGGACCTCGATATCTCGTTGTCCCTTCTAGGCAGCGTTCAGACTTCGATGCGCTTGGACGCGCTACAGTTGCACCAGTGCTCCGACGCTAGAGGCGCGAACGCAGCCGCAGACGGGAATAGATCAGTGCCAGCCGCTTGTGTATTGAGAGAGGTACACGTTGCCTGAAAACAAAGTGTGGTATCTGTTTGCACTGGTTACATCTGGAAGAGTAGGGAGTAGTAAGAGAGTACGAGATTGAGGGAAGGCGGCGTCTGCCCTTCCTGCAATCTATACTCTCTCAAAACACAGGCGGCCGGCACCGATCGATCCTCTCTGCGGCTGCGTTTGCGTCTATATGATTGGAGCGCTGCTTCGATTGAAGCGCGTCGACGCGCGTTTTTGCGAGGTGTGGACGCTGTATTACGGCATCTTTACCGGTAAGCGAGCTTCTGGGGTACGGCCGCCTTCCTTCAGTGTACTTGCAGCATCCTCTCGGGATATTGGCTCTGAAGCTTTATATTTCAACGGCCCAAAGACTGCTTTGAGGATCTTTACCAAATTAAGACTGGTGTATTGGTCAGCGTTTAACACAGCGTATCCATCCCCTTCTCGTCCCGTCATACCACCCAACAGCAGGCAGTCCTATCCCTCCGATCAAATCGTCGGTAGCCGGTCTACTTGGCTGGCGAAGACGGGCGCGATCTTTTTCGTGGTGACAGTGTCTCCGTTCTTCCTCTTGTCGCTTCCTTATGGTTCACACTTAGAGGCGACTCCCACCTATTTGTATTCGATGGAAATGGGTTTCCAAGATTCATTAATTTATGTTGATATTATAATGTTTAGAGTCTCCTATTTGCTCTCCGCGCAATGTCTGAAAGAGAGAAACAACAAGTTACCGAACAGGTCGGTCACCGATAAGTGTTATTAGTAGACAAGGCATTGCATTGTTATCGATTCCAAATTCAGGTCCAACGTCTAGTTGGATCGGCTTCTGTAGAGGAGCTATTGCGTTACATAACAACTGAAGCTCACAGAGAGATCCTACTCGGTGTTTTGTCAAATTTTGTGGCCCGCCAAAGAGCGAGTTCATTGGATTAACATAATCTGTCCCTTTAAAGCCGATGTCAACACAGTTTCTTTTAATTTTGTAGGCGCCATTAATTCCAAATATTGTGCAAAGCCCTTCGATGGTTACTCCTGGAACTTACTTCATCGTCCTTTATTTTCTCATCGCTGTAATCAACTTATCATATGGTGCCTTTTCTGGCTTCACCAACCTTCCGCGATCCTTAGAACGATTCCGAAAGTATTCAGCTTCGATTCTGTTCCTTCATTTTCTCTTGACTTCTGACTTCTCCAATTTTTTTTTTTTGCTGTCTCACATGTTCTTCCTCCATATACATAGTTCATCACACATCACATGCTCTTTCTTTGCAACAAATGTACATTATTCACATAATTTGCCCATTTGTTATTGTTAGCCCTACATAAACCTTACGGATTGTTGCACAGTCACGGTTTCATACCATAATATGTTTGTGGACACATACTGATTGTGGTGAATGTAGAACATTCCTAAACCTAATTTTTCCCACAGGTTCATAGTCCATAGTGTCAAGTGAATAGGAGACTTACTGTTAATAAACATGTCAAAATTAGGAAATACAGCATAGTAATTTTTGAGAGTTTATAAGAATCGAATCATGACAATATATTAAATGTATCACAGCCAAGTCACATTAATATACATATCAATATCTGTATGGTTATGTTGACTCAATTGGGTTCATGTGCTTTCAAAGAAGCTCGGTACAGAATGGGCTATCGATAACAGACTGCTGCCCACGGCCGAACCGCCCTAAAGTTTCCTTTTATACGAGTCAATGGAAACAAACGAAGTGAAAAGGCTTCCCAAAGAGAAATCGAAAAATCGAACGCTTCCGTGAAGGGGTCTATGCATGCATCAAAGTAGATCAAAATCGAATATATCCTCATGTTATCTTGGGACATAGCTGGAGAATCTATGCTTTCTTCACGATTACTATCAAGAGCAGTATCCCAATGCCAACTTTTTATTTAATTCAAGACAGAGCTATAGGTAATTGGGGGGGGGAGGAGTCTTTGCGGCGAGTAACGTTACCCTGTCATGTGTGCTTGTCCGCGCTCCCCAATTCTTCCAAAATGTTGTCGACGAGAGAGAAGGTGGAGGGTGAATAACGCCGATAAGACTGTATTTAGACTTTCTTCAAACTTGGATCACTGCGGACCACAGACGCGGAGGTGACTTCGCCAAGCTGGTGCTTCACCAGCAATTGGTAGAATTAAATTGGGGCGGCGTCCACACAGCTTTAATTGTGCCGTTGCGGCGATGCACCGTTTGGCAGTGGAACGCCCCCGTTGTAGTCGCGGTGATCAGAGTTCGCTGTCCGGAGCGATTTCCGACATCGCGAAGTTGAATGGGGTCTGATCTGTCAGAAAAAAGTACATACGCTCTGGGGGAGTGACGCAAATGCCTTTAAGGTGAGCGAGGTCTTGAGCTTTTGCTGAAGTAAGGCCGTCCATGCATAACTCAGCATATTGTGAAAACCATTCCAAGAATTCGAAAGAGGTGCGTATAAAACAACCCGGGCAATCGTACGACTACCACGAGCGACCTTCGGCGCTGACGTTTCAAATCAAAAAACGAAAGAGGAACACATTGCTTTCACTTACTTCGTCCACTTTCTCGCCCTTTGTGCGTAACAGATGGCCACCTTGTCGAACTTCCGCTATACCCCGGTCTCCTAGCGCATAACCGTACACTCCAAGCTGACTTGACAACATTCAGTAGTTGTACTGATTGCATTGCTCGAACAAGGTAATTCTGCGAAAAATACCAATAGAGAGAGAATTGAGTACTGCCTGTATTAGAGTCTCACCTCAAGTACAAGCGGTTGAATCCGCTCCATGAGGATATGAGCTCCTCGCTCTTCTTCCGTCATTGTTTTAAGTTTCTCGACCATCTTCTCGCCATAGAAGTTTCCACCACCTCCTTCAGTTTGTGGTTTCAGAACAAACTGATTTGGATGAGCGATCGCACTCTGAAATTGTCAGCACATATGATTAATATATAGAGTTATATAGCGGAGAATGGGCTCACCTTCACCAGCTTTTCCGTGATCGGACTCTGGTTATTTATAGCCCATAATCCAGCAAATGTTGCTCGTATGGCCGCCGCCTCGCGAGGATGTCCAATAAATCTTTCCACAACACCATCTTCTGCTAGCACCTCAAGTATTAACATGGCCTAGCGAACATGGCAAATTGAAAGGTTTTTTAAGGCTGAAAAATTTCCAACTTGCTGAGTTTTTCTTCGTAAGTGATTCGCCACTTGAAGACCAATCCACGGCGATTTGATCGCATCTGACCTTTCCATCAGAAGTCGAGCAGACCACTCTGAAGAATTTTTCGTTTCTTTTCTCAATAAAGTCGGGATAAGAGTAACTTGATATAGGAGCTACCTTCTCAGATGGAGATAGTTGTCAGGTGAGTATCCAGCTCGGAAATAAACCACTGCAACCCGTGAACCGGACAGAAGTAAGTGACGCTCAGGTGACAAGGTTAGGCTGCAAGCAATAGTCTGTAAATGATTATTGAGAAAGTTTTTGCCTATTTCCGCGAGAGTACTTTACAAGAGCTGACGAGTAGTCTCTACAAACTTCGGCTGGTTCCACTCCTGACTTAATAGGATCTCACAAATCACCACTTGATGGCTGCACACCGGTTGTGAAGTAACAAAAGTGAACCCCCCCCCTCTAAGGCTGAACAGCCGCCAGCTCCGCTTGTTGTTGGCATACAGTTATTAATGACGTAATAGTAGTGAAGAAACATCAAAGAACAGACTCAAAATACCCCTGCATTTATCCATCACTTAAAAACATGAATTTAGAAAAATTAGGACACTCAGAGCAAAAGCCACTGTTTTGCTGTACCTAGCATGCTGACATTGTTTCGAAAGCAAAAAAATCCGTTCGCTATCCCCACGAACACCCAGCTATTTTGACGGACTGTAAAGAAAATACTTGGACTTTTTTGAGGAATAAGACGTACCATTCGTAGCACTCAGTTAAGGTTCTTCTGACAATCTGATCTACAGGAACGCCCATGTCTTCAAGCATATATTCAACATGCCTCTGATCGATTTGATTCTGGTTTACATTCTCCACTACAACCAGTACGACAGCGCTTGGTTCTGAGAACAGTTTCCTGAAAACTCTGCCATCACGTATAGGAATACTAAAACTGCGGGAAAACTCCTTAAAGTCAAACCTGTACAATAACCTGCGGAATGGCGGTTCTTTCCTGCGGGAAACGAATGGGTCTGCAGCTGCAGTAGCGTGCCATTTTCTCTTAGCAAAAAGCGCAGAGAACCGGCGAAGAGCGTAAGTGATACCGCTGCGTGTTCGCGTCCGTCACGCTACCCTAAAGTACAGCACCTGGTGATCGAATTCTGCACGCGATGAGCAGTCCGTGGTGGAAGGAACAACCACGTTGAGAAGACGCAAACGATAGCACGTCTCGCTTATTCTATATGGACGTGTGGCCGGCCATGCGGAGTCAGGAGACGGCACTAAGGTATCGCTACTCTCCCGCCCAGTTCTCGTGCACTCTTGAGCCAAGAAAGTGGCACACTTGGCATTCCAGCGTCGGATGCATTCACCTCGCACATGGCCAGCCGAACCATGGAGGAGGGGAGGCGGATGTACAGTTTGTCTTCAAACTGGCAAGAATTCTTGAAAATGAGTGTCACCGCACCAAGCTTTGAACAAAGCTTCAGCGATAGTCTTGATCGGTTTTTTTTACATTTTTTCTTTCTTTGGAATTGCTTTTTCAATTGTCTCTTTGTCATAACCGAGTTCAGCCATTGTCCGCCGATGCATTTTCGTTACCTGAAAAAAGCACGGTGATGGCAGGGTACTGGAAATAAGATGAACTTACCCTCTCTGCATGAGCTCCCATACTGGATGCGATGTTGTTTACCTCGATCTGCAATCGAAATTTTGTTGTAGTAAAGAATCTATTAATAGATTATCCAGAAATTAAGAGGCACTTGACATCATTCCATAATCTTTTACTAGTCATTAACCACTGATCTACAGTGTAGCTGAGGTATGAGCTGATTTCTC